AGGAACAGCATGCAGAAACTTGTAATAATATTTCTTTGACTGCCTTGTTACGTCTGCGTTCCCAAGTCAGCTACAGACCAACACGATAACCAACATTTCTGCTCTTAGCCGCGTCGCTGCTTGAAGGGCTGGTTGTGTTTATCGCTTCCGGGTAGACGAAGCAGTTAGAACCCACGCCAGCAAAGACGGAGCTTTAGTACCTCCAACGCTCTAGTTAACTGAGCTGCGAGGCCCCCACTGGGAGTCGTTGGTTTAATCAAAATTGGATCATTTACCTGCCCGGCCTACTGTAACTTATGGAATCCATCAATTGTCTTATAGTTAGCTGACTAACCAAGCGTTATTTTCTAAGCAATCAATATAGAATCCAACAGCTGACTACCGGGCACAGTTAATTGAGGGAGTTGGGGGATTTGACTAGTTCATTGGTCTACGCCATAAATTCGGTGTAATTGTCTTGTATCTAACGCCAATGTCTAACCGGAGACGACCAAGGACGAATTCGAAAGAGCATAGTTTCCTAAGCCGTGCAAGTGGGTCTTCCTCCAGTATAGTGTCTTCATCGCCATAGAAGGGCCTATGTCAATCTACATAAAACAGCTACTATCCTTATCACAAACCATCCTTTTCCTGTCTACTCTAAGATGGCAAGGTAATCACTATGCCGCTATTGTCATTTAAACTTACCAGACCACATACGAGTTAAAGGGTAAATTTGTCAGGGCGCTCTTTTGGGAAAAAACAACTGTTCCGTTTATGCTCAAATTCAGTTACAGACACGCCTTCAGGAAACTAGAGGATAACTAGCTCTTCGATGAAGGTGACCTATGGGCACAAGCTACGAAGGAGGGCGCTAACCTGTTAAGTAACATCGGACACTAACAGGCTGAGTCAAAGATTTAGTGGATTCCAATAGAAAAAATTTTTAACAATCAGAGCAATCCACAGGATCCGACCTGATGAACTCTGCATGAAGTTGATTTCCACCGAGATCTAGAAATAAGTCGTTCCTCGAATGTTTGTGGCATTGACTCGTGTGAGTTACACAGTGCAATGTTGACGAAGGGACCGCAGGACCTCCAGCAAGTTAGCAGTCCCCCCATACTCACAAAAGAAAGTTGCGAAATGATGTGGTTACTGCCGAGGATTCCTTATAATATTCACCACAGAAAATTATTCACGCACATTCTGCTCATCTCCACAGCCTTACACTAAGAACAAGGGCTTCCGCCCGATAATATAGTCTGCAATCACATTTCAGGCGTTTATATGATCTTAATAATCCTTACAACTGCATATAAACGGCCACGAAAAGCAGATCTAATCGTAGAGTTCTTCGAGTTTCCCGCAAATGCCTTCGAGTATATAACTAGTGTCAGT